ACCACACATTCAATATTGCAAGAACATTCAGCTTAAATATAAGCCCAGGACCAAGCCAATCCCAGACCCAGGAAAAGGCCAATCAGCTATATGGATCTTTCAACGTAAGAAAAAAAAACAAATTTTTTCGCGCAAGAAACCCCTCGAAACAAATGGTCGCTTATTTATTAGCAGTAACGGGTCATGTGGCTATAGTGCCCTTAGACTTAGGAGGAACGTAGGCTTAGAGGAGCGTAGAACAGTTCATTCTAAGTGGCATACCAGCTTTTTTTTTGGCAACAGTCCTGGACAAATGGAGGAAAAACAACGAAAATTGACAAATAGGGAATGTACCAAGGCACGTAATAAAAGCGGCAATACTGCACCACTGATGAAAATTTGCAGAACTGTTGCAACTTCCCAATTGATAAAACGTTGTTCGTAATTCACAACGAACGTGAAACTTTAGTAATTCGCGCAACACTCTATCCTGATTTGGCACCCGTTTTTTTTTGTTCTCATACAGCAAGGATAAGCTTCGACGACTTCATTACGGCCAAAATGCTTCACCACGTGTTTTGATCGTAAGCAAAAGTGTATAAATAATTCAGACCGAAGAATATCTAAGGACTTTTTAATGACCCTCGTATAATAGTTTACGAAGAGCACATAGTAGTTAAAATAAGTTTGGGAACAAAAGTCCGCATATATAAAATATCCAACGAAATTTCCTGCTATTCGTATAACCAACCAAAAGGATACTAAAACTCAAATGCTTTGTTTTTTCTTTTTTTTTTAGTGCAACAAAACTTCTTTATTAATTAAAATATTAATAGTTAATTTTATTTATTTTTTTTCAATGTAAATGTATGTACGAGTATGTAGTATACATATGCTACAAAATAGCGATAAAAATAGGTTCTAAACATTGAAGGAGCTGACGTTGTGAGGTGTTGTTTTTTTTTACTCGTAACTATGTATTTTTTTTGTTCATTTTTTTTTTTTGTTGTTTTATTACATAGAGCCTTAACCGCAAAAATAACGTAAGCGATTTTTTTTTAGAAATAATGTTTTTGATAAAAAATCGCATGTATGTACATGCATTTCCGCATCAAAAAGAACATTTTGAAAATAAATATCGGCTATGTTTTTTCGCGATTGTGGCTACATATGTATGTATTTATTAATAATTAACTTGTTATCAAATTAAAAACTAAATTGCACTAGCTACCACTAAAAACGAAGAAAGTAATATAATGTATAGTAGTAAAACATTAAATATGTTTGTATTAGAGATAAATAAAAACTAAATGTATTTTATTGTATTTTTTCATGTTTTGTATTTAGAATGTTCAAAAGTTGCACGCAAAAATTCCTATGCAGAGTGTTATAGTATGTGTGTGTGCATGTAATTGCTTTTTTACTGCGTTGAATGTTATTTAAGAAAGGTTATCTAAGAAAATATGTATGTTTATGTGAAATTACTAAGGACCGAACAAAACAGTTATTGATGAAAACTGCCATGGAAAATTCACTATGAAGGCAATGTTTTTTTTTTACCGAGACTGACAATTTTAAAATAAATTTTTATGCAAAATTAAAAAAATAACAATTATTTTTTTATTTTTATATTAAATGTTTTAGACAACAGTTATTGTGGACTTTTATTTATATATCAGTAACTTTTACATTTAAAAGTCATCAATATATTTTTTAAATCATTTGTATGTATAAAAGTCATTAACATTTTTCGTAGTTAAAAAGGTATTGTGAAACAAAAGTTTATTACGACTTGTACAAATGACTTTTATAAGTATGATTTAAAAAATAAAGGTCAGTGACTGATTTTTATTTATGACTTTAATAAGTAAAAGTCTTCGATAACTGTTATCTGAGACATGTAATTCAAAAATCCAAAATAACTGTTATTTGCAATTATTTCGATAAAAATCAAAACTAATTGTTATTGATTTATAAAATAAGTCCGAAATAACGGTTATTTAAAAAGTAATTAAATAAAATTCAAAAAATAATTATTAAAGAGCGCTTTTTTAAATAAAAGTTGTAACTGTTACGGTCCTTGGAAATTACACATTTCAATTTTAGCACATTTTCACACACTAAATTGGAAAATGTTAAAAGTTTTTTAGTAAGAAATTCCTACTCTTTTTTGCTGGAGATCGTTTGCTATACTATGTAATCTACTTTATGGTTTTTTTTTGGATGTTTTTAATTTTAAAATTGCTCGCCCTATTAAGTTATGATTATTATTGCCATTACGAATTTTAAAGTTACATATATTAAAATAAAGAGCTCAGTTGGTTTTATGTTTTATTTTGTAAGTATCGCATTTTTATTGCAACGTTTTTGTTTTTTTTTTTAAACTGGTAGGTATTTTTTTTATACCGCATTTCGATTGGGAATTAAATGACAAAGTTATGCGTTGAAAAGTGCTCGTTCCATTCCAGGTTAATAAAAAATAGTCATTAAGTTCTTTTTCACGCGTCATTTTTTAAATGATGCACGTTTCGTTGTCACTTCAATGCCTAGTGGAAATGCGGCATTAGGCATGTAATTTCTGGTTTATTTTTGTTATAAGTGCACTTTTCAGTTAAGAGTCGCCTTAGGCTCACTCTGTCTTTATGTATTTAACAGCAACAAAAAGCTATTGTCACATTATGAGCGATTAGCTGATTGTTATGCATACATTTGTGTATATGTACGTACATATGTAGGTGTACATACATATATGTACATACATATAACATTATTTTATTATGTTTAAATATTAATAGTTATTGTATTTTGTAGTTCTTTGGCGATAATTTAAGCCTCCGATTTATATTCTATATGTATCCATAAGCAATTCATAAACATTTATAAGTTAATATTTTTAATTTGTTACTTGCTTGTTGTAATTATACGTTCTTTATTGCTGTTTTCACATACATATATAATTGTATTTTTTCACATTTCGACATTTTATCAACGGCATAAAATCAAATCAAATTTTATAGTTAATTAAAGTACTAAACATAAATATATTTCATTAATTTTAAATCAACGTAAATTACAAAACTGCTTTCATTGGATACGCAGTTATAAGATAATTTTTATTTTTATAAAATTTTAAAATTAAATTAATTTTTTTTTGTTTGTTTAACCCTACAAAGTAAGTAAATTTATGTGTAATAATAATATTAAACTAGCTTCATTTGAAGGCAACAAGGTAGTTATATTCATTCTCCTTTCAGTTTTTATTTATATGTATAATAATTAATATTAATTTTTTAATAATTCATATTGTTTGTAAATATTTTAGCGATAAAAAACACGTAAAATTAACTAAGTGTGTGTAAAATAGTGTTTATCATATGTGTGTCGGTCAGTATGTGTGTGCTTTGTATGTTTGTTGTATATGTACGTATGTGTAAGTGCGGTTAGTCGGTTAGCGTCGTGCGAATATGTTAGAAATATTTTTTGTTTCTACTTTTTTTTTTGTCGCTAATAAACGGTCCAACTTATACATTATGTATGTTTGTATTATTAAACTAAAAGGCCACTTGCGGTCGAGAATGCCATTTGAGGTTTTAATTTACATTCTGAAAATTTTACTTTTCAGCAAACTAAAAACTAGCAAAAAAAAACTAACAATACAACTTAGATAAAAAAAAAAATTAACGTAAAATTGCACAACTTATATTTAGCAAAAAACAGTATATGGAGCTGTTGGGCAATAAGCAGAAAAAAAAATTTGCTGTGCACAGAAATTCTAAAAGTTTGAGTTTAATTTTCAGATTTCAGAAAAAAATAATGGTTAAAATAGAGAAATAAAATAAATAAAAAAAAGTGAAGAAATGCATAAAAAATGTTTTGAATTCAAAAAAAAAAAATAAAAAAATAAAATTGAAAATAAATCTTGCGTAAAAGGTTTAACATTTTACAATATGAAAAGGTTTAAGATCGAACCACTCGTTAAAATGTTAATCTACTAAATGTAACTGATACAACTCACATTCTACCATAACATTGATCGGCAAGCAAGTGAAGCAATTAGGACATCGAGATCGGTTATTGTCCGAATTGTGCGAAAGATTTTATTTTCAAATGAAATTTGATAGAAATTTTAAAATTTAGTGTTTTTTACTTTACTTTACTCGAGTAGAAAATGGATAGTCCAGCATAATAATTTATCTTCTTGACAAAGTTTGCAATTTTGCTTTTAATTTTAAACTCAAAATTATTTATTAGGAAATTATATTCTCTTAAGCCTCCAAAGTAAACGAAGCTTTCATTGAAATAACAAAAATGTATATTTAGATCAGCCACGACCAAAATATATCCATCCGTGACAGCTTTATGAAGCCAACTAACAAATTCGAAAACCTGGCAATCTTGACTGTGAAAACAAGTATCGGAACTTTCTATGTTACGCCTCGAATTTTCTGCTTTCTGCGTTTTTTTGTATCAACATTTTTTTTTACTAAATAACAAAAAATAAAAATAAAAATAAAAAAACTTAATTGTGCACAGACAAAACTTGTTTTGTTTCGCCCACTTTCACCATTACTCCACTACTTTGTAAACTATTAGCATTAACATTTTTACAACTATTTGTTTGCGTTTTAATCATTTTCGCATAAGAAATAGTAAATCCCCGAATTTCTTGGACATGTTTTGAAAAGCTGATAGCGTTTTTAATTTAATAGTACTATAATTAATTTTAATAAACGCAAGAAAATCTAAAAAAAAATAAGGATTAAATAATTTAAAATTACGAAACAAATAAACTTAATGAAATTGCAAAAAGAATATCGAAGATGCTAAAAATGAATATTAAAGAAAATATGCGCGAAACAGCGAATCCTAACATTTGGATAACGTTTTGAACGTTTTCACTCCCTGCTCTTTCTAAAAAAAAAAAAAAACGAAAATAAACGCGCACAAAAAGCATTTTGCTTTAAACCGTTTTGCGCATTTTGGAAGCCTTTTTCCTGCATTTTTTGTCCTTGACAAACNCTAAAAAAAACAAAAAAACGAAAATAAACGCGCACAAAAAGCATTTTGCTTTAAACCTTTTTGCGCATTTTGGAAGCCTTTTTCCTGCATTTTTTGTCCTTGACAAACCTCAAAGTGTATAGTGTTTAAATTCCTATAACTTTACTACGTTTTAATGAAAGGGTTTTTTTTTGTGTTTAGTAGGGTGTATGCGCGTACGTGTGTGTATGTGTGGGGGTGCACATGTGTATGTGTGAATGTAAACTAGACGCACTACTCCCTACCAATACTCTGCTCTTTCTGGACTTACATAACACCTTGCCTTGCAATAAACAAATGGAAATATACATATTTATACGTATGTATTTATGTATGTGTACCCAATCACCCAAGATTGTTGTTGCTAAACATCTAACTGTTTCTTTTTTTTTAAATCTTTTTTTATGTAATTATAATTTAGTAGTCTCTAATGTGCTTAAGGCATAGGCTTATTGCGCCGCCGCCGTCGCTTCGGGTAAACGACCCGCACCCAATGCCAGCGATGTTGTCGATGACGTCGACGAGGACGAGGTGGAAGATGCCGCCGATGCTACTGTTGTTGACACACCAGTCGCCGAATGATTTGAGCTTTGTGGCGCTAAATCGGGTGGCGTCGGTGTAGATGCTGTCGACACCGCCGCCGATTGTGGTGCTGGTGATGTGGTCACACCACCTGCCGCGGCTGCTGCCAACGCTGTTGAGGGATTTTCAATTTTATGTATGATTTTTACGTGCGCCGTCATATTATCCTTGCGCGTAAACTCTTTGTAACAGAAGGGACAGGGATACACTTTGACATTGCGCTTATGTGATGTCACATAGTGGCGGCAAAAATTGCTGATGTGTGTATAGACGCGCGAGCATACCTTACAGCGGTAGGTATGCTCACCCTCTTTGGTACAATAGTCGCGGACGGAACCTTCCGCTTCGCCTTCGGGCAAAGCGCTACCCGATGTATTCAATTTGGTTTTAGCCGGAGGTGAACCAGCGGCGCTGGAGCTGATGGTTGTACTGCCGCTTAGAGCGCCTTTCAGTTTACTTAATTGTGCGGCAGCTACGGCAGCTGCACTCGGATTGTTGCCAATATAGTTGGAATTGAACATATCCATGTAATCGCACGAGAGATTCTGAAAAGTGGATATATAAAAAAAAAATATATACATACGAAACTGCTGCTGCCACCCACACACTTACCTTGGAATCGTTGCCGGTAGTAGTAAGGTTNTACATACGAAACTGCCGCTGCCACCCACACACTTACCTTGGAATCGTTGCCGGTAGTAGTAAGGTTGCCAGTAATATTGCCACCGACTCCGCTAACGCCATTCTGCTTCAATTTGGTACGCTTATTCACTTTCACCTTAGACACTTTGCCAATGGGTGTCAGTTTCGGTATGCTAACCATTGAATTGAGCAGCGTCACGGTACTCGGCATGCCACTAGCGCCTGCCTCGCCTGATAATTTCATGGCAGCAGCTGTAGCGGCAGCAGCTTCGATCAATTGTTGTTTCTTTTGTTGCGCGAGTAATAGTTGACGTTCTACGTGTTGTTGTTGCGCTTGCGCGGCTAAAACATTGGGTGTATTCTGTTGTGATGGTGAGCTGGTGGCATTGGGATCGAATTTGAATTCGACCGGCTCATCGTACTCATCCAACATCAATTGGGGTTCCATGTACGAGGTGTCCATTTGATCATCGCAGTCGCTATCGTTGCCATCTAAAATATAGAAGTTATGGTGGAGATTGGTAAGAAAGTGTTGATCATTTGGGGTTG